TTAAGTTTGTTGATCTATAATTAGCTTAAATAAGGAAATATTGTGGCGGAAAATATTCGGAGGCAATAAGATTACAACTTATTACTTGGAAACATCTTTATTGAAATAATTCCATTTGTATCATAAATTTGATTTAAAGTATAGCAAATCTTGTCATATTTGAAAGGTTAGAATGGCAATGATGGACTATTGATCGTACGAAGAATTTTCCCTCGAATGCCCCAGGTATCTCGTTGAAGGCTTCGTGCACAAGAAAGGAAAAAATGCAAATTGTTTCGGTGCTCAACCTTGGATTCAAATGCTCATTTGATATGTTATAGAATGACAAATAATGAACCAAATACTACAGTCTTGAGCTTAAGAATGTTATCCTGACCTTAAGTCAGCTCAAAAAGCGAAGGTGATTTGAATCCACAATTTACAAGAATATGAATTTTGTTGCTCCAAAACAGCATCGTTTACCATGATGATCAATGAGTCAATATTCTTTCAAAGACTATGGACATGTTCAATAGGGTCTACAGATTTATCTGCTTGCTCTCGATTTCCAATCAAAGTCAAACTGAAACGCTGGGAGTCATTGGAAATATAGGCATTTTGAAGCACGGGAAACACTCTCCCATCCGCCATCTTGTTTTCAGGAATTTTGGCGCATGCGCAGCGGTTTTTTAGCCTTGTCGTCGCATGCAACAAATCTGAATTTGAATCCCGCTCTACTCTTGCAACATTGCGAGCAACAAGTTCCATCGTGTGAACATGGCTGCAACATTGCGTTCAACATTTTGAAATTTCCAGCCAATTAGCTTGCACCAAATTTATAACTGCTGACCAAATATCTTAACATAGCAGGCTGACACAAGCGAAGTTGCGTGATTTTGTTGCAATGCGTGTCACCCCGATTCAAATTTGTAGCTTGCAATGTTGCGTGCAATGTTGCATTTGCACCGTGTTTCAGCACCTTAACGCAACACCGTTTTCTTCGGCTACAAAACCGCATCTGTATAGTTTTGCATGAATCTTTTTACTAATCAAGTCTCATTTCACTTCATTAGGATAGTTGTCCAAAAAAACCCTTTAAGTGTACAAGGATAAAACGGTATTTTTATTAAGTTTTTATTTAATTCAGACGAGCTGAAACTAATATGGTTGGACATTCCAAACAATCAATCAGTTTTGTACATATTTATTTCAAGAATATACTCAATAATGGAAAGATCGAGAATTTCAGAAAGTAAACTCCCCAAAATAGCGGTACGTAACAAAGATTAAGTAAAATAATTAATAACAAAAGTTAAATAAGCTTCATCATACCCGAAAATTAGGCAACCCAGTGAAAGCTCCAAAAGCGACTTGTTAATTTGCATAATGGGAGACGACCAAAGCAATTGTCGCGCTTGAAAGGGCAATTTCGTTTCTTGGTATGAGTCACTACGAAACGTTTTCGAGGCTCTGAGTCTTTTAAGGCGAATATTTATATGGCAAATGGTTAGTTTGGGCTTCAAAAATCAACCAAAATATTCTTGGTTTGCAATCAATCCCAAGAGAGCACAATAACAAAAGGGATGTCCGCCAATGTTGGAAGATATAACAAAAGAATTCATTGAAAAAGCTTTTGTCAAATTCTTCCAACATGGAGGCTATGACGTCTATTGCAGACGAAGAATTTGTTGAAATCTTTACGGATTACCATGTATTATACTTCAAAATGTTCACAAAAGCGCGGGGATTTCGCATCTAGCTTTACGTTTTTGACAGGGTCTGTTTTATTTCGAAGAGAGCCGACTTTCTAGCTTGACTTCGTCTCTGTCACCCAACCGCTTGCATTCAACTCGTAAAATACTTTTCTTTTTAAAACAGATTTCGAGTTAAAACATGTAATGAGGTTCAAGAAAGATCAAACTAACTGTATCCAGTTTTACTATTTTCTTAAATAATGATTTTGAAAAACTTAATAAATAAAAAAATCCCAAAACTGTGATGTTAAGGACTTATTTGTGCGTATTTGAATGGGCTGAAATGTAGGAGCGGGAATCTTAATGCTTTTTTTCCCGATGCTAAGCTAAAATTGAAGCTCGAGCATGCGCATCACATTCCAAGTCACCGCATTTCTGGCTAGCGTGCGCTATGGTTTCCCAGAGTCTCTGTTATTTCATTGAGCATGCGCAATACGAATGACAGGGCTCTGGGGTTGAGAGTTGGATACCATCAGCCATAGAAAAATTATATAGGAAAACAAAAGCGCTAAAAATGTTTAATTTGTAAAGGTTGCCCATCACTACAGATATAGATACAGATCTGTTGTTAATCAATACAATCTGATTTTATTTTCACCTCTCAGTTTTATCAAAATTGGGCTCCCTGTGCCCTGTACATAGGGACTATGTGCCTGTAATCTAATTATTGAAATATTTTGCATTCGTCCTTCAGTTTCTGCTTTTCTTTTCTTTTTTCTTTTTTTATCATTATTTCGCCATATTTATTTATATATTTACAGTATAGGTTTTATACGAAATTTACAAATGGCAAGGGGGCCTCGTGAAACCATCACAGGCTTATGAAAGCAGAGAGTCTCCTTCTGTAAATAAGTAAAGTCTACAAAAACATACTTTATACGAATTGGCGACTAAGACTTTCATATCGATGGAACCAAGTATCTGATTTGACAAGTTCGTACCGMGGTTCATCGCGTATGCAAGGAATATATTTAAAATATTCGATTTATTTGYAACAATTAAACCGCGGAAMYCCTGTTCCTTCTGTTATTTTCACCATTAACTCGTGCTTTTCTTTKWGCAGCTTYGTTACACCGGATATTYCTTTKTGGTYTTGAACGAAAACAAGACAAGAAATCAAGGTATAACTTTTCATAATATATCAAGATGGTTGCACTTATTGAACCATTAGCATAAATCTGTAAAACACTGATATGACGAAGTATGTAGTCATTAGTTAATGAAACATTACTTTTAGAAACTATCATAAAACATGTGTATATGACGAAGGCCAGGTAAGGAATGATAAAAGGAAAAAACAGTGATACAAACATCCTTGTAACTTTTAGCCGAGACAAAGCCCTCTGAGTGTTTTCAGAAGCATCAACGCGTTTGCTGTTTCGTTGACGCTTTAATATACGAATGTGGATGATAGTTAATATAAAAATTGGTATGATGTATACGATAAAAGTAAAACTAGCGAACAACGCTCGATATGATGGCAAAGAGCTATCGTATTTACAAATTAAAGTATAGGAATGATCTCCAATGTCTCCAAAGTACACGAGCCTAAAGGCAGGAAGCGGGATAAGAGTTATCAAAACCCCTAATGCCCAAGATCCAACAACTATTCTCTTAGCTTTCCTTCGACTTATGATAAAGAATGGATGAAAAATGCATAAATATCTCTCTATCCCAATAACTAAAAGATTAAGTATCGTTACCACAGGAAAAAAGCCTATAAGAAATCTATTGAATCTGCAAGTTGAGTCACTTTTGACAAAGTCGATGAACATTTCAGCTGAATACAAGGGAAGGCTGATAAGTGAGCACAGCAAATCTGACAAGGCAAGACTATTGATGAAATATTCTGACAAGGATCGACTGAATGCTCTTCGTATTGCGTGGGGTCTTCTTCTGTGCTGCTTGTGCTTGAAGTAGAGGATCAGGGTGTTTGCAATCATCCCATACACTCCAAACGAGATCATGAAAATGAGTATAGGGAGTTTGACGTGGTAACTAATTATAACAGGAGCAAAGACATATTCTCTACTGGTGCTGTTGGTTGCTTGGCTGAAATTATTGCTGGTGTTTCTTTTGAGAAATTGGCTTTCTGAAATTCTAGATTCCATGATGAATTCTGCAAAATTTGAAAGGAAAATGCAAAGCAATTTATTATATAATTAGTTGTCGAAATTATACGACGTTACAATTCGTCGAATATAGTTTTCTTTGTCTATGTTTCATCAAAATGTTAATAGTTATGACACGAGTGAAAAACGTCTGCGCATGCTCTGAATCCGTATGCAAATTAGTCAAAACATAAGTAAATTTGACTTTCAAACATGCTCGATAAATTGGACTTCACAAAATGCCAAAACTTAGTGTCCATGCTTGAAACTTAAGGCTAATTCTTTCATATTGTGTTTGTTAATACAGTATCTTGGTCTGACAAAAGTATACTCTCGAACTTTTTTGTATACTTGGAGAAAACAAACATTCATTTTCTCACTCAAACTCTTCAAAATTCTTAGAAAACGTGCTGAAGTGCACGCATGCGCAAACGTTTTTCTCTAGTGTCAATAGTTATAATTAAAGTTATAATTAATGGGGATTAATTATAATTTTTATGGYAGAGCCCCTTAGATTGACGAGATTTTGCAATATATAAAAAAGATAGTTGATAAAGCTTATTACCATAGATTAACATGAGAAGCTTAGGCTCATGACAAACTCGTATCTTATTATCCAAAATTCCGCCGCTTTATGTGAAAGACATGTAACTTAAATCATAGGACTATCTTACACCCAAAATTCATACAATTTCAAACAGTCACCAAATCTTGGTGCACAAGTCGGTCATGAAGATGCAGGACATGACATACAAACAAATTCCAAACTGACTTACACATACGTTTCAATGCACTGGAAAAATATCTTACATAGTTTGGCTAAAGAATCGCAGGGATGCTTCCAGTATGGCAGGTGAAAGTGGTGGATTCCGCCTCCTAACTGCAATTGCAGATACACAGTAATACGTTTACGTTCCAGGACATTGAAAACAAATTCAGCTTAGCTACATCAAGGATAAACTGAAAAGGTCTATGAACAAGTGGCATGGAGAAGTGCTACCATACCATCAACAGTCAAACCATCTCCTTCTTTATAAAGGTAATAAAAGCTATGTGTTAATAAGATAAATTAATCTACTTATTGGAACTACTCAGCCAACCATTGCGTCATTAAACTACTCTTAACTGCATCGTCCGGCAAGAACGAGATAAAATTATCTCCGACTAAAATCAATCAACAACACGAAAATCCGCCTTTCTTGCAGTCTTTTTCAAACTTTCATATCCTTCTCTGGGCCACCACCCAGGACTAAATGATTCAATTTTCTGTCCTCGGTCACCACCGAGGAACTTATTCAAAACTTTATTCTCGGCCACTTCCAAGTATACTCTTCCCGAATCAGTGATTTATTTGGCCATTGCCGAGGGAGGTATTCAAATCCTTTGCAGCCTTTAGGCCATCTGCCAAAGAAAACTAGTTAATCCAAATCGTGTCAGTGCAAAATAATCAAACGTAATTCTAGAGACGAGCGAAAAGGGAGAACGACGTTTTACCCCATGTCTTCGCGGTGCAGTATAAAAGGAATCATACAGATTCGGGCTCGTTTTGAGCGCCAAGTATGGAGATGTATATTAGTGTGAGTTCTGCTCTCGGAAAGTATTTTTCACTGAATGCCAAAGTTTCCAAAATTTTATATTGCTATATGATTAAAGTCATTATATTTGCTATATCACCGAAAAAGGTACTTGAGCTAAGAATGAGTGTTTTATAGCTTGTTTTYGTGTTATTCAGCTTCGAAATTGTTTGAGCAGGGACCACGGACTATACCTGAACAGTAAGCTATTTGCTTGACATAAACTAAATCATACCACTTGTAAAAAAATGAATGATTGAAAAAAATTACACTTTCTTTACCTTTTTCATTAAGTTCACTTGGAATGAGGATTCTCTTCGGTGCCTTCTTTGCTATGTAAAATACTATTCCAGAATTGCTCATTTTATAGCAAGTTTTGAAAGAAAATTTTGCTTTTTATAGATGCTTTTACCTCGGGGTGCAGCGAGTTTTACGCTTCTAGCTAATGTATATTGTCTATCATATATCCGTTACCTGTATTAGGCGTTTATAAAGAGGCGCCGGCCATTAATTAACGTTAATTTAGTCAAAGATTCCGATCCAAAGTGGGACCTTTTAACACTGCTCTTATTTATTCATCTAAAAGCATCAAACTCTTTTATAAAATATGCTATGCAATCCTTGCTAGATTTATAATTTTATTGTGAAAGAGCACGTATTCTCTATATTCTTACAATCAGCTCAGATTATAGTCAGTCTTCTACCTGATTTTGCCTTTCAAACATTTTATAGCAATAGTTGCATGATATATTTTTTTTAACAACTAAAATATAGACCGCTCGAAGCGTATGTGTAGAGGTTACTTTATTCAAAGTGCGAGCGTGTGGTTTTTAAACGAATACTAAGGCTGCGTTCATAATGTATGGCAAGGGAGGGGGGGGGGGGGGGGGCAGGTGAAAATTCGAATTGTCCAGAATAATTCTTAGACCCCCCCTTTAAAGTCATGCAAAAAAATACGATCCCAAGACTTGCAGCTTCTTCCAAAAATGGTGCATTCCCCCCATTTTTCTGATACAAATTTCCCCATCCCCCCTTTTTCCTACCAAAATTTTCTCGATCCTCACTCAATTTCACCTGCCCCCCCCCCCCCCCCCTCCCCCCCCCCCCCCTGCCATACATTATGAACGCAGCCTAATGTTCCAAACATTTTCCAGGTTTTTCTCTTTTGTTTATTATAATCATACGCCGAAATGTTTTAACTTGGTTTCAATTCGAAGAGTAGTATATGAGTTTACAAAAATGAACTAGAAATATTTGTATTTCGGAATTTACAGTGCAAAAACGCTGTTTTTACAAGCATAAAAAACTTATGATCTTTTGAGAACTTCAGCCTTTATCTGTCTGAATGGGGTTTAGTTTACATGGGAAATGATTGAGAAAGTTAACAGAAGTTATTTATCAAATTTGTCTTCATCCAAAAACGACACCGCATTTCATCAATGCTGTGCGTTATTATTTCATTTCAGTAATTTTGAAGCTTTAAGGCCGGTTTACCGGTACGATTTTCGCCTACAACTATGCGTATAAAACACGCTCGCGCCATCCTACAACTCGAGTCGTAGCGTGTGTAACGGTAGTGGGATTCCTGTGTTAGAGATGGGATCCCTGTGGGAATTGGGTGCCTTTGTGTAGTCCGCCATGTTTGTAGTTATCTAAGATTAAACACCCGTTTAGAGGCCCAAATAGTGTTTACTCGTTATACAGCTTAACGTAACAGCGTTTAAATCAAGCCTACAACTCGCCTACGACAGACGCGAGCGTGTTGCATACTATAGTTTTAGGCAAAACTCGTATGGTCTGAACCGGCTTTATAAAAACGTTTTAGTCTCGGCCAGTTCTCCTTCGCTTTGCTAGTGACACTTCATTGATTTTCTCTTTCATATTTTGAAGTAAAATTTTCGGTTTAGTTGCCGAAAGTGTCACTCGAAAGTCGGCTTCTGATTGGATTTCTCACAGACGAAGAAAAGCCGTGATTGGACGTTTTTTATTTTCACACGCAAAAAAAAAAGCGATACGCTCATTGTGATTGGTTGGAAACAGTGAACGAAACAAAAAAATGTTAAACAGAGTTCCTAAGTAAATATCGGTATTATATTATAATTGGGTGGGTTTCTCAACGGTATTATAAAAATGCGGCTATTAAAAGGATGATTCTAATATTTTTCAAGTTTCATGATTTTATCATTTTTTCGAGATATTGCCATCGCATTATTGTCGATATTTTTTTCTAGTTATCACTAAAATCCTATTAATGCCTACTATTACAATACAATTGTCTAAATACCGCAAATTAAAAGAAGTACAATGTGCTTGCATTAATTACTGTCTTTTAAACCATTCCATTAATGGTATTATATTCTTACATAAAAACTTTTTTATATTTGGATTCTTCTTGAGCTTTTATCTGCACATATCCGTATATTTTTGAAATAAGTATTTAGATTCCGAATTAAAAATAAAGTATGACGCAACTATAAGACATTTCAAAGTCAACGTGACATACAGTCATGCGTCCTCATGCGTCCTTATCAAAGTTCAAAAATTCATTTCACTATTGGAAGTTCGATTTCCATTTTGCTTTGAAGCTTGCATTAATAAAACTAAAGTTGAAAATTTCAATCCCGGTCTTTGCCTCAAAACATTCAAATGTGTATTTGTGAAGAGGATTTTTTAAACAAAACTGCATGCCAAAYGTATAACTTTAAAATGGTGCTACAATTGTTGAAATAATTTTAGCTTTGCACGAATCTGTGAAGAACTAAATAAACTTTTATAATTAATCCGAGCCCAGAATTCAAATTCGCAACGTTCGTTTCGTTAATGCAAGCTTCAAAGCAGGAAGGAAAGCAAACTTCAAACAATGAAATGAATCTTTGAACCTTTATAGGAACGCATGAGCTAGCTGGTTTGACTGTAATTTTCAAGTTTTTTGACAAGCCTATTTAAGCTAGAGACTTTGATATGAAATGTATTAGAAAGAAACACGCAGAAAATGATTTCAACGTTTCGACATCTTCYGACTGGTACTGAATAATCAGTAATTTGGACCCCGTAATTTGTATACATGCTCCACTAGCTATCCTCACTTGATAATGACAATATCTTTTAAATAAGTTTGGGAATTAATGTTGATCATTTTGAAATTTATGAAGTAAATAGAATGGGTAGAACAATAACTATTGTACCCTATATTGTTCTAAGTTCGTGAGCAAACGTGCAAAATTACACAAATACGTTTGCGCGTTCGATTCAGACGGTGTGTTTAGTAAAACAATTGGTGCTAATCAACTGAGTCAAAAACGTGTTCGAAGGTTTCTTGCAGCTCTAGTGAATGACGTCATAATCTAAATGTCCTATCACGTGTCCTATAACGTGCCCTTTCCATTATACTACTTGGGCTTCCTGTGGTTAGATGGAAAAACAATGAAATCCCTCTGCTCTTGGGAATTGAATCCTTTTTTTATGTAAAACGACTATATTGTTACCATCTAACATGGCTGTTGCCACATGGTGGTGCAAAGCCTCTATTTTAAGAGTATTTGTCATTAGACTTTTGAAGTCGTTTTAACAATAGTTAATGGATCGGAATGGTTCTAGGTTTTTGTTCGACTTCATCCATTGTTATAAGATAAGGAAAATTTGCACCATTTGTTCACAGTATTAGGGAATATAGAACTTTTTTCCCCTATAAAAACATTCTAAAATAGGTATTATTTGTGAATTAATTGTCTATTTTTAATGCTTTCTTATTTATCATCTAGTAACTGAACTGTATGTGCGCGGAAATATTTATCCGCTTAGTTTGTGATCATCGAATGAAGTACTTTCAAAATGTTCATACATGAAAAAAGTAAGAAAATCAATAATTTTAGTCATACCTGCTTTGGTTCATTGTGCATGGTCAGTATCGCGTGTTGGTACGGTTCAACCTCAAACAAAAAGTCATAGCTTTGTTCTATGGAATTTCCAAACCCTTCCGCTCCATTAGCAATGTTTTAACCAGCCTAATGGCAACCATCATATCTCTTGTTGTCTTATTATCTTGGTAATAGTTTCAAACCACGCTTGCATTAARGCATYWAATRTTTTTGAAACGTTTTTTTCTTTGTTGATTTGTCCTTGAAAATTCAACTTTYCAAAAACGGATACGGCTGGAAGGGCAAAAACGATTCTGTATGGACGAGAATGTTTTTGAAAGCGAAATTAAAAAGAAACGGCTGTTACCAGAGCTTCTGGCACTGGAAGGAACGAAACCGTGGAGTCAAGACCGAGATTACTTATTCTTGTAGTCTTTAAAATAAGGGATTTTTTATCGTTCTTGATCAAAAAGTATGATTTTGATAGACATTTGACCCCTTAAAACCCTTTCCGAGACATGAATTATTCGTGTAGTGTCTTTACCGTAGATTGGTACAGAGACGATATTTAAAGACTCACACACCATGATTAAACTTGAGAAATTTTATTTTTATTGCAGCGTTAGTTTGTTTATAAGTGCATTTAAGAACGCCATCATTCATAGTCTCTTTCACGAACATACATTGGTTTGAGTGACGGTTGGTTACTTGATTTGAGATGCCTGATAGTGTAAGCAAAAAGGTTTATTTCCTGCATCCAAGCCAACTTTACGTTCTTCTGCACGAATAGCAGCGAATCGCTCTAAACAGAATCGTAGCCTGCGTGCAGCCGAACTAACTGTTAAGTCCGTCTGCGAACCGTTACCCCCAGCAGTGTACCTGGATTTCAGTACGCGTTCTGATTGGTTCTTAGTTATAAGTTTGCTGATTGGCTATAATTTTCAGTCTCTACTCAAACTTCAGACTAGTTTGTTTATATGATTTCACGTGTGTTGGTTCTTGCCGGGAATAAGGCTCGAATTTATGTCTCGTTTGTTGCTAGTAATAATCATAATTTGTATTTTATGTTCTCGCGAGTTATAGCAAAGCACCATTGTTTGTTATCTTGAAGAAGGAAAGTCAAAGTTAAACGTGAAGTGTGAGTTGGAGATTTATTTTCAATCGACAGAGCGAGTATATATGCAAGTCGTGCTTTCAAACCTTGTCGAAGAGACGAAGTTTAATCCAACTGCAACACAAACTTAAAACCGAATTGCGTGACATACATAAGAATAATACGTTGCCTTTTGAGATAAATAAGCTAAAGAGAGGATCAGCAGAGGATATGGAGTGTGTAACTCCTAAAAAAAGTCGCATCGAAGGGACTAGCGAAGATAATACATCATGTGTTCGCACATGCAAAAGAAAACAATTTGATTTCAGCAAGACTGAGTAACATATACAAAGGCTCTGATAACCAATCGGAAACGGCTTTAGTTATAACCAACTAGAATTTAGTCTTCAAATCCATACGTGGGGGCGTGGGGTCTAGAGAACAACGTCGTTGCTTCGCAGACGAACTATACGAGAGAAAAGTACCGCTGCACGCAGGCTAACAAAATCCTCGTTATTCGAATATATGAAGGTCATACGTCACATAAAGTTGTGAAGTGCTGCCTTCGGCTTGATGAAGTCCGTAAAAAAATGTTTATGATTTCATACATAATGATGATACCTTTTACTGCGTCACTGTTTCTAATCACAATATAGGGATTCAATTCAAAGCAAATACTAAGTGAATATTAGTCTTCTATTATGAAATATTGTTCAGTTATATTTTGGGCSATATTATAATACTTTCTGGGCTAAAATAGCAAGCGGCGAGCAGTTCG